GTCACGGCAGCCATTGAGGGCAAGAAAGAGGGGAAAGGGATGCAAATGTTTAAATTCAATCTGTGGTTCTGGGGCTACGAGAAAGGTTCGCTCGAGACTCCCATCTACTCGGATGTGGCCATTCAGGTTCGGAAGTGGAAGGACATGGACATCAAGATCTATGTGCTCAGCAATGGCTGGATTGAGTTCCAGAAGAAGATCCTGTCGAAGACAAATCACGGCGACCTCAACCTCATGCTCGACGGCCACTACGACACCAGCGAAGGACAGCTCAACAGCAAAGAGACGTTCGTTAAACTGTTGGCCAAAGTGAACGCCAAACCCGAAGACACTCTCTTTATGACCAAATCAGGAGAGGGCGCGCGAGCGGCCAAAGAGGCCAAAGTGTCTGTCCTTCTGGTGCTCACTCACCGCAAGAGTATCGACAAACTCACCGAAGAGGAGAAGGCTTTGCCGCGAATCAGATCTTTCAATGAGTTAGAGTTCGGCACTAAAGAGGCCACCGGTGGTGGAGGTGCTGAAGAAGCCCCCAAAGATGCCCCCAAAGACACCTCCAAAGACGCCTCCGGATGAATGAGTGAATCACCGATTCCTCCAGAGAGCCATTCATTTGATTTGCATTTCGTTTCTATCTCTCATTCTCTGCTTTTATTATAAATTCTTTTCTCGTATTTTCGAAAAATAAAGTTTGACTCAAATATCTCTTTATTTACAAAATGTATACAAAAAATTGTTGAACTTATCAATTACTATCGAATTATTTTTCGCGATTATAAAGTTTAGTTTGATTTAAATTTTTATATTCAAAAGTTTGCCTCAATTTTCATTTTTATTAAATAAGATTTATTTAGTCCTCTAATCAAACTCCAATCAAAATGTTTTCAAAAACTTTGCTAAACTTAAGCATAACATGTTGAGACATACCATGGTTAAAATCTACAATTTATACTTTTGATTTAATTAAAAAGATATATGATGAATTCAATTTTATTTTTGATATATTTTTACACAGAATTTGGAAGTAGTTCTAACCATAAATAAGTTTTGTGATTGTGTTCATAACTCTCTTGATCTTTCAGTGCTGAGGGCCACTTCATTCCCGATCTGAACACCTGATCCATGACCACCTTTGCTATGGTTAGTATCGCTAGCGATAAGATGACGATCAGATTTATTACCACTTTTTATGATCAAGACAAGGATTGTG